TGTGTGTTGTGTCAAGTGCGCTCTAATGCACTTTACGACACTTTATGGCTGCTGCGGTGTCGCCGTCGCTATATAAAGAACACGACAGTTATGCTCGGTTAAGGCTCCAAGACAAGGCAACAAGACATGGAACATAAGCATAGGTTACGCTAAATTGATGGGGCTGCATATCTGCATCTGGATATGAATATATATGTGTATAAGTACATATATGGAGCTTGTAGCATATGTTTATGATAATTGTTATGATCAGAGCTTAACAGCACATAAGTTGCTTTGCCACAGATTAGTGGAGCAGCAGCAGGAGTCGATAAATGGCCAGGATGTGGCATTAAAGCAGCTTAACCTACTCCAGGAGGAGCTCAAAAGAGCAGCGCCAAAGCAAAATGCAACTTGCATGAGTTACTTAATGAATGGAGCAATTGGAATGTGCAATGCATCAAAGAGCAGAAGGCAGAGCATTAGCCATAACATTTACATTTTTGTTTTGTACCTTGCTCTGTTAGCCAGACCCAGCTGAAGGCTAAGAAGGCGTCAGCTTGAAACCCTTTCTAACTCTAACAAGTACTTAGTTCAAATTAGTAGATAGTCTAAGCATGTGATTGTAAAACTCTAGGGAGATAATGGAGTAAAACGAAGATCTGGTGCTCCCGAATACAGGGCCCATATTCGATGGCTCCAGGTTATTTTTTTAACAAAGAAAAATAACAGGCATGCCAGATGGGTCCGTCGAATATGGATAGCCCTATGTATATATTCTCTAAACCGACTCTGTTTTAAAATAATTTTCAATTAAACTTAATCAATTTGTGCAGCTTTCTCTCTCTCTTCTTTATCTAAATTAAAGTTAAAATTAAAGTTGCCTTCTTTCAGAGCAGTTTTATAATATTTTGATATTATTATATCATAAACCTGGTTTCGTTTTATAGTACGCCTTGTCTCTAGCCTAAAAATAGCTCTCAATTTTGGCGATTACCACTCCATCTGCGCTGAATCCTATCCAGCAAGCATTCTCTTCAGATTTGAGAGCAGGCAAAAGTCACTGGGGACCAGGTTTCAGAGCCGGTTGCGGTAGAGGCGAAAGCAATTCGAAGCTCAATTCCTGGAATTTTGCCAAAGTTTTCATTGATTTACGACACGGTGTATATGTATATACATATACATATATATGGATGATGAGATATAAAACTAGACTTGTTTATGCGTGTAGATGAGACTACATCAATATTGTGATGAAACGAGCCAGTAAATGTAATAGGTATATCCGACTCTCTCGAGCTATTCGTGAGGGTGCGAGTACAGTTGGTAGTGGTGATATCTTGTTGATTGCTTGTTTATATTGTGCAATATATATGTATGTATTTATATGTAGTCCATTCCCGCCTGAGAGTGTCACTAATCAGCTCTTGAATTGAAATGAAATTTAAGTTTATTGGGCAACTTCACCTATTTTGTTGACTTCTGTCGCGGCAGTGCCGAGTATCGGGTGGCGGGTGGCGGGTGTCGGGTGATAGGTGACAGGTGAACGCGACACCTGAAGCTTGACCCACATCACTGGCTGGTTTTAAAATGCGGCTAGTGGCGCCATAAAGCATGACCCAATTGAATTGTTACGCTCTGGCTAATAAAATTTTATGTGCGGCTATTATTAGGCTCTAGTGCTGGCGGACGGACCCCAGTCGCTCCATTTCGCTGTAAGCCGAATTGGGGCTGGGTAAACAATTGGCGGGGTGACCACAGCAGCAGCAGCAGCAGTAGCAGGATGAGGAGGAGGAGCAGCTACAAAACATTGTCATTTGCTGGATGCCACCAGGGGCACCTACTGAACCAGCGTCGCCCTTTATTACTTCTTATTTTTTTTTTTTTTTTTTTTTGCTTTTTGTGGGAATTCGCATCCGTCTACCCCGAAAACGAATTCGAATTCACAGCCGCATCCGCATCGGTACACCAATCGGCATCTGTATGTACATATATGTGTATATACATATATATATATATATATTTCTGTATATACTTTGTTTTGTTTCTCGTTTGGCTTTTGAGCCGAAACTAATTTATTTCCTGTATTGATTTTGCGCTCAGTCGAGTTGGCGTCCAAAATTTATGCATAACTTTGTCCTCGTCGCTGTCGCTGTCGCTGTCGTTGTCGCTTTTGTTGCTTTGATATCAGACACTTTGATTACACGCCTCAACTGTGCGTTCCTCAAGGATAGTGGCCGGGCAGGATGCCTGATGCCTGCCGTCTGCCGTCTGCCGTCTGCTGTCTGCTGTCTCTGCCATGGTGGCTGTGCGGTTGTCGGTGTGGGTGCATGTTTTTCGCATTTTTTGCGCTTCACTTGCTTTCGACAGCGGCTCGTGGCGTTAAGTACTCGCACAATTTCCATAGCACCAGACAAATAGGCGCACAATCCATTTGGATAACTAAAACCGCTCCTTGACCAAAGCTGACCCTGCAATAAGCTAAAAAATAGAAACACACACACACACACACAAAACAAAAGGGACTAAATTGAAAGTCAAGTGAAGGCTAAATGTGTCCACATTATGGCTATAGGTATATACATACAAACATACATATATACAGTGAAGGAAAAAAGTCAACATACACCACCAATTTTTCGATATTTGTATATATTTATTTGTATTGCTTCATGTTTTAATAAAAATGTTTTTTGAAGTGATGTAATAGCAAATAATTATGATAATAGCAAAGTGCAAAGCTTTTCAAAAGTTTCTGTTGGCTTAAGTAAACTATAGAGGAAAGTTGATACCAAGCACAGATTGTTAACGGCTTCAAGGCGTCAAGTCAGCTAAGTTGGCCTAAATGGCTTAGTAAATGCAGCTATTAAATAACAAATGCTTCTAGTATATTTCAGATTTATATTTTCTTAATGCTTATTTAAATCTTCAACTACTTAAATTTACTTTTGTGTAGTAATTGGGAATAGTTGAAATTAATACTATCACTGGCTGTTAAGGACTTAGGCTTGGTAGAGTATTATAATATTAATATTAATATTATATAATATTTTTATAGTGTTTTGGTTTATGTTAAGTAAAAATATATTTTTTTCCAATAAAGACATTCAGGAAATGATCATGAATCAATCAAGTCATATAGTCAATCTAGGCAAGAGCTGTAACAAGAGCACTCATCAATGACGATTAGTTTCTAACTATGCTTATATTAAGAGAAAAAGATTAGCATAGTCAAGCAATCGTTAGCATGAATATCTTTTTGCTAATACAAAACTCTTTCAAAGCTAATCAATAGATTATAGACTCTATTCAAATAGAGTGTTAGATGGAGCGCTGCTTACTTTGAGCTCTACAATAATTTGAACTACAAAATATGTATTGAATCAAATGAAAGTATTGCAGGGAAAGGCTGCCAAATTTATGTTTCGTATATTAAAAAATATATATATATATATATATATATATATGAAAAAAAATATATATAGTACATATATGAAAAAAAAAGGTAATATAGAAATTAAAAATTGTGCCAATTGCTTAATATTATTTAAAACCTTTTAAATATATAGAATTGTTTGATTATGAAATGTAAGCAGAAATATAAATAAATATTAAAAAAAAATTATATACAAGTTGCTTAATTTCATTTTAAGTTTTTATTTAAAGGACCTAATTTATTTTTATTTATTTATAAAATTTATAAAAAATTAAAAATTTTAATATTGTTATTTTTCTTTTTTTTTTCAATTGAAATCAAACTTATTTGGGTTTGCCTTTATTAAATAATAATATGAGCTATTGCTACGCCCTGAAAGTTATTTGAAATTTCAAACAATCAATGCCAATCCGTATAAATTGCCAATGGCCGTTAGCATATTCTATTTCTGTATTGAAACTATTTACCCAATGAAAATATCTGTACCTCAATTTGTACAAATATTTCTTACAAAAGTTCCTTGTCTTCATTAGCAATTTGTTGCCTTGCATGTAGTGAATATTGTTTTGCAGTAAATGGAATTTCTGCATAACAATAATTGATATTAATTATAATACAGATCAATTATGTGTGTGAGAAATTTAATCTGAAGTCATTCTGAATGGAATGTAATTATTTTAGTTTACATGCAAATATTGCTGGCTGACTGATTGACTAATTGAAGTATTGAAGTGCCTGAAGGCTTATTTCAGGGACTTAAGCTCGGCTCGACTAGATAACGAACAGTTCAGGTAGCTTAGCCATTGCAGCTGAAGCTTTTTGGCTAATGGATGTATTTTGTTCTCATGCAGTTTCCCATAACGGTACACTAAAGGTGTTTATTGATTTTGAATGCAGCTAAGCAAAAATACCTTGAGCTCTGCTCAAGCAACAGCAACATGAGCAAAGGAATTTATATGTATTTATATGAAAAGAATTTAAACTAGTCAAGCTTTCAAATTTATTTTGAATGAAAATAAATATTTAGATATTGAATATTTTTGTAAGAAATATTTTAAAATGTTTATAATATCAATTGCATTATACTAAGAAGTTGCAGCCAAGCTAAACTGAGCTACGTCACTTGACAAACTTTTAGTAAATCGCACGTAATGCGATCTTTATAAAGACTTAAAATGCAGGTATATGAGAGACTTAAAAACACTGAGCGAAAAGCTTGAGTGAAAAGCTGAGCAAACTGCTCGTTGAGTAAATACCCTTGAGTATGTCTATAAGTACTTATGCCATTCAAACCTGTTGAATAACCAAACAATGAAACAAATTGAACATAAAATTTATGGAAAAAAAAAATAAAATAAATAAAAAAAATAAAATAAAAATAGTTTAAAGAGCTGAAGGACAACAAAGAACGAGGAAGCCATAAAGCTAGAGCAATAAAAATATAAAAATAAATTTAATGTAAATATGCATATAAAATTGATGTAAAATTCAAGCTTCCTATATTATTTGTCTGCAGTTACGTTGTTGCTTGTTTTCTATACTATTTGGCATCTGTAACATTTTGTATAAATGCTTTCCATTACAGTTACGGCTGGAAGTGCAGGTGTGGACCTCTGGACCACCGGAGCCAGCAGCGGGTGCTGATAGCACACAGAGACAACGGGGACTGTCGCTCGGAGCCGCAACACAAAATGAGGAGTCATAGCAGATGGTTATGTGGAATTGTGCGCCAGCTTAGCTGCTGGCTGCTAATGCTGCTAATTGCTGGCCAGACTGTTTATGGTAAGTGTGCTACACACACACACACGCACACACACACACACACACACACACACAAACTAACACAACTACAGCTCCGATTCTTATCAGCAGTCACAGCACATAGACACATCTCTCTCTCTCTCTCTCTCTCTCTCTCTCTCTCTCTCTCTCTCTCTTTTATATATACACTGATTCACAGACCAACAATTGAGATAAGTGGCTCTCGAGCGTAGCTAAAAGTGAATGTGTCGAATATAAAACATTCCATTGCTGTTGCCCGCTTGACCTCATTAGCCTTTCATTTATCCTCTTTATTTATGCAACTACACACCCACACTGAAAGCATTTGCTGTGCACATGGCTGATGTCTCCAATTGCTACAAAAGACGAAAAGCCAGCAGAGAAATATATGTGTGTACATATAAATATATGTATGTATGTATATATATACAAACATTTTTATTTGAGGTTTTGGCTTGGCATCCAAAAAAGTAGCGCTCAAATGGCCGTGGCGGTAGCTCTATTTATGGCAGGCTGAATGGCAACATAAAGAAATCAACCGAACACGTACTGCTGTGGGAGAGGGAGAGGGTGGAGAGGAGAGCGAGAGTCAGAGTCAAAGGGAAGAAAAAACTTGGTATACTTATTTTCTCACTGGCCTGTAATTAATTGACTCGCATTTTCGCATCGAACATAAAAACAACTCAAAACTTTTGCCAGCAACTTTTTTGTTGCTGTTTACGCGTGTGTGTGTGCGCGCCTGAGCCCGTGTTTGTGTATGCGTGACTGAAATGGCTAACAGTTGCATTTACTGCAGTCAAGGTCACGCGGCAAAGTAAAAACTTTTTTCGCTTGCCAAATTGTCGCATGTGGCCAGCAGCCAAGTTATTTGCTCAAGCGATATAACTTTATATAATATATGTTATATATATAACATGTCTACATAGTATTTACACATGTACATATATGTAATCTATACTCAATATGAAGTTGAAGTTATAAAAATCTTGTCGCACATGTTTCATTTACGCACATGATGTGATTGAAATTTTATTATTATTATGATTATTATTTGTATTATGATTATTATTAATATTATTATTATTTTATTTTTTTTTTTTGTATTATTAATTGTGTTTTTTTTTTTTTTTTATTATTGTTATTGAACCTATTGAAACTAGGAGATCAGGGTATACTGGGTTTGTTGAAATGTATTTGACAGATTGAAGAAGGTGTCGCTGATTCTATAAAGTATATACATATATTCAAAATCAGGCAACATGTCTGTCCCTAGGTTTGAGTGTTTTAGTGTTGATGATTAAAATCGTAATAAAATTTATTTATTTTATTATTGTTATTATTATTATTTTTTTTTAAATTATCTCTCACTTCTTTTAAGGGCGAGTCTTCAAGTTTCTCTCCGAATTTGCAAAAACAATTTGGTTCTAATATTTGAGATTATTTGGTAGATATACTCATATGAATATCATTATCATATTTTGCTAGTTTAATTACAAAAGAAATCCATTCAATAATTAAATTCTCATAATATGGCCAATGCAGTCGCTGCGCAGTTAGCAGAGCGCATATGTGTGTGTGTGTGCATATGTTGTTTCTAGAGTAAGCAGAATAGAAGTTCTTCGATGGTTTAAGGGAATCTTGTGGTCGAGCAAACTCGACTACAGCACACTTTTTCAAAATCAATTTCATATCCTTCTGTGCTGCACATATTTTAATTTTCTTCTTATTCTTTTTGGCATTTTTTTTTTTTTTTTTTTTTTTTTTTTTTTTAAAGTAAGATTCATTTCACCAGCTGCTCTCTGTGTGGCATCGGATTGAAAAAGTCAATTTGTCTCATATGTGTACGACTGCCAAATACTCGCTTTCAGATGCAGCTGATATTTATGGAAGGTAAATTCATATTCATGAAGAGTCAAGCGGACTAAATCAGAGTCAAAAGCGGTTCACATAACTTTACCTTTAGCTTTGCCATCTGCAGCGTGCAATCATTGCCAGCTAAACAAACTTTAAACTTTATTTAAGCAAGCATAAATAAGAAAAAAAAAAAAAAAAAAAAACACTAGGTTGCTGTTTGCAATGCAAAACCAACCAACCAAACAACCAACTCTTTTTGCGAACGGGTGGTAAATGGCAAAAGTTTTTAATATCTTTTCAGTTGCGGTTCTCACATTTGATGATTATTTCTTATTTCTCATTTCGAAATGATGCACAAATTTCATATGTCTTCTCATACACATGCCACATATTCATTCACATAATTGTAATTGGAGTAAAAATGATTTTCATTTACGTTCGCAATGCGAATGGGTTTGTGTCGAGGTTATATTATCAAAGGGATTCCTTAAATAGAGCAACAGGAGTTGTAGCAAAAAGTTTATTATTTCTTCCATCGAATTTGTTAATTAGTTGAAATGGTGTGCACGTAGGCAAAGGTTAAATGCAATAATATAATGCTGAAGTGGGAATCATTTTCGATGCCTGAAATTTAATATTTTTTGGCGAGATGCGTAATTGGCGTAGGCATTAATGTTTACTACAATATTTGGGGCATCACCCAACTTAGCTGTTGCCATAACAATTAAGCCCACTTAACGGCCTTCTGGGCATGGCTACAAATTTGTCCGTTGATACTGTGAGTCGATGAAGGAAGGTGCTAGATCGAATTTTCAGGATAACGATAATAGCTGTCGGCTGCGACCTCACCCTCGCCCTCACCCTCATCCTCACCCTTATTGATGGTTCATCAAATCAGAAAATTAATACATGCCATAAACACGACCTAAACACAACAGCCAGCAGCAAAGAAAATCATGGAAGATACATCTAGGAAATTGTTTGCCTTCTCGGACAGACTCAATTTATTGCGTTATGTTTAATATACCCTAGAAATTTGAAAAGCCTATTATTGAAATAAAGCAATACAGAATTTATAAGATTATTCGTCTTTGGAAAAAGCTCTTAAATGCTGACCATTAGGGAATTAATGTTTTTAAAGGGTATGCTACTACTGTTTCTGGTACTACTACTACTATTTCTGTTATTACTAACATTTTTGCTATTAGTACAATTTCAGCTAATATAATATATAGGCCAGTCCGACTTATACCACTCCGTATCCTTCTATGCTGCTACAATTTCAGTTACTTCTAACTACTATTGACAAAAGTAACAGTCTTGATTACTCCTAACTGGAGGCTACTACTCCTACTACTCCTACTAGGTTACTCCTACTAATTATTATACTTATTTATGATTATGCTTCGAAACTATTTTAATTGACTCCCAGCTCTGTTACGCTTGATTTAAATAACGAATGCTCTCCTATTATAATATTATTTTATGCTACTTCATCTAATTCTTCTTCAACTTATAATTTCTCTGATCTAATTATACCCAAACAGCATCTTAAGATACCAATCTTACGTTTATTTGAAATGTCTGCCTCTAACGTTTTTTTTCTTGGAAACATTCAATTTATATATATATACATATATATGTTAACAACTGTCTACCTTCTATTGAGTTTCTCAGCTATAAAATTTTATTTCTGCAAAACCTTAAATATAGAAATTTGGTTTGCTCAGATTCTGTTCGCAATACTTGTTATAATTCTTGATTTTATTTATAATTACTAATTAAATATCTAAATACACAGTTATATATATTAATTGTTTATTAATTATACATCAATTATTTCACATTTAAATGTTAATTAAATATTATTTATTTTCTGCCGTTCATTTTACTGTATTTGTGTATTATTTGAGCATATTTATATACCCTGAACCCATTGAAAATGGGAAATCAGGGTATAATAGTTTTATTGAACTGTATGTAGCAACTCACGTGCGTTTCTAGCACATTCTTAGAATCACATCAGCAGTCAGTTGGGTTTAGTTTTGCTAGATGGCGCTGCAGCAGTGAATCTATTTCAGTTTTGCCAACGCAGCTTCGAAAAGTGAGGAGACGTTGTGAGTAGCGGCGTGACGCTCGATCGAGAATTCTCGGGCTCGATTCCAGTGCGCGCAATTGATGTTAATTTGTTTAATTGTTTCAAATTATTTATATTTTTAAATACATTGAAATTGAAATTTGAACCATACTAAATGTGCAATTTTATCAGTTTGGTTCAGGGTAGTATCTAGTTTTGTTATTTTTATATTATCTTATAATTCTAGTATATATTTCCTCTATATATTCAAGCAACTAAATGTATCATTTAATATTTATTTTATTCTAATTTAATATTATTTTTGTTCTATAATTATTTATTTTATCACTTATATTTTATTTTTATTTAATTATTTTTTTTTAAGAATATTTTATTTTAAAGCAACTTTAAACACTACCCCACTCTAGCTATATTTGTCTCTTTTCAAATACATTTACATACAAGGAAAGCTCTTTAAAGTCCTTTCCATTTTATAGGGTATTTTATTCTTGAGATGACTGCAGCTTTTTTTGATAAATATTTTTTTTTTTTTTCTTATATATAATTATATATATATATGTTTTTTTTTTTTTTAAATATTTTTTTTCTTCCGCATCACCAATAATTAAATCATTTTGGCATGAAAAATGGTACCGAATTCGGCATAATTTTGAATTCTTGGATAACACAGAGGGGCAAGGTATATGAATGGAAAGCTAGAGGAAAATGCGAAAGGTCCACTGCTCACGTTCTGTTGGGCTGTATGTCTTGCCTGGGATTAAATTGAATATGCAAAACTAACAAGAAGAAGAAAAAAAAAAAAAAAAGATGGAGGCAAAGAAAAATAAAAGTGAAAAGGGGGCGAATTCAATTTAAATATGCATTAATAAAATGCCAACAGGCTAATCAAATTGCATTGCATAATAATGAGTTGGATTTGGGCCTGGATTAGGGCCTATGGATAAATAGATTCGGTTCATCGCCTCTGGAAATCAACTCAGCCAGCCAAGCCCGGCCCGACCAGCTATTTATTTATATGAAATTGAAATGTGGCGAGTGTCTTTGCCAT